AAAAGCTACCAGTTTTGTTTGTAGTAACTGAAGTAGTGAACATTCCTTGAACTTGTTGCTTCATACACAAAATGCAAAAATTACCATATTCAGTGTAAAACTGGACAGCAATTTCAATGACAAGAGTATTCTTCTTATGAAATGTCTTTAATAAAAGGGCACAGAAATTTTCTGATACTGTATGTAAGCAAATGAATCAGATACTAAAGCAAAGGGCAGAATTATGGCACTTCCATAGAATTATGGGAGTGATAAGGACAAATGAGCACCAAGGCTAAATTAATTATACTCGTTACATTATGTAATGTAATTACACCAATAACTCTCTATATGGATCGTAAAGTGATGCTGATATGCTTGAAAATAATACACATCTTGGGTCAAAAAGCAAAACTCATGCTATCAAATCATATAAACTTGTCTGTCAAAGTATTTAAGTATTATTTTCTTATAGTGAAGCTACATGAAAGCTTTGCAAATTTTTTTGTACCCTGTTTTTCTTTTGAACTCATCTCTTTTACAGCCCCATAAATCTTGACTTGGTGGATTTTTAATAATGATAGCTTATACCCAATTTTTGAACACCTGTCTGTGAGCAGGTGATAAGGCTTTCATATTCATGGGGACAATGAAGAGATAAGTTCCAAGACTGGGTGGTAAGCTCAGCTGTTAAGACAGCTAATGAAGGAGGAAAGAGATGAAATATAGGCCAGCATCAAATATTAGCACAGGGAGTTCAAACACACTGCAGTGCAAAAAGTGCTGCCTATCCTTACTCCTTTTATTTGCACCTCTCCTTTATTTCCCCTTAACTCAGCAATCTTTCACAGCTCAGGTCCAGTGCAGGTAGCATCTGGCCATGGGATGGTGAGAGCAGTGGCGCATATGTCAGGCAGATACTTGCTTTCCCACTATGGCAGCCACTCATCCTAGCCTTCTGCACCAACCAGATGTTACAGCTCACAATCTCTCATGCTAAACCACCCTGTGCTGGGTTGTTCTGACATGTCTGGCAGCAGTGTCTTCATTTCTGCTGACCAACGCAAGCTTCTGACCCAGGTAAGTTAGGGATCTGATGGCGGGGCAAGAGGATCAGGTGGGATCCAAAAGGATGTCTGTGAGGTGCTGGTATCTTTGGCCAGGTTGAAATAATTAGGGTCTCTACATTAGGGGTCTCCTGTGCCCACTGTATTCATCTATCTGGTCACCAAGCCTCAACTTCATCCTTCCCTGCCCCCCTCCCCCCCAGCTGATAAACACTATAGCTATTTACGTAGCCTTTAAGATATGATCTGAGCATATATTCATGTTGTTATTTTACATCTCAGTTGCTCCATCGTCACTTTTACTGGTCTTCATAAAAGGTGACCGGGTGCCTGTGTCCAAGGTGATTCTGAAAGTTTTTGCTTTCTGTATTTTTGTTTGTCCTCATTTTCAAGGCCTTTCATGTTTATAGTTTTCTTTTTAAAACTAATGTGTCATTCCATGTTGAAAGTTCAGTTTCTGACCCTTACAAAGTTTTTATATTATCACTTATTGCCTATGTGGGTTTAGAGGTTTGTTTTTTTTTTTTTAGAAAAGCTTTCAAAAATCCCCTCTCCGATCAGAGCCCTCATCATGGGAAAAGTTCCCTATAAAACTCTGCTTGCCTGTCTGTCGTGCTGTCTGCTGTCAAATCTCTCTTTGAGTGATGTCTTTATACAGCTCACAATGAAGCCATTATCCACCTCACCGATCATCACAAGGTCACTGTTTCCATAGACACTTTCCTCACACTGTTTTACTCTATGGCTTCAACCTCTTTGAGAATAGGGTCTTTGTCCTGTATTTGTATAACACCCAAAACACAGACTAGGACAACTTCTACAGTGTTGTGATAAAAAAAAATAAAACGGTCTCAGCAATAAAGAGAGAAAATGGAACTTTGCGTTATAGTCTCCATTCACCCAGATCCAGGTTAAATTGCTGGTGGCCTTGTGAATCCCTCTGCAATATGCCAGAGGATCAATATTATTTGCCTACAGTGGTTTTATTTACAAATGCAGAAGTCTGGAACAATGAAGTTGTTTGACAAAGGTGATCAGTTAACTGGAGTGAAAGATTGGGATGAGGCACTGTTGTAGCTGCTGGCCCTGTCCCTACCCAATATTCTCCATCAGGACAGAAATTAGACAGAACCTTTTGAACATGCAAGGACAACATGGTTATGGAAAAAGCCATAAGCAGACCTTATCTCTGAAGCCACAATATTATTTAGATTTAATCATAAGGAAAAAGTTAAAGGAAAGCTGGAAGAGAAAACAATCATGTGTGAAATCATTTTAACTTGGAAAAAACCACAGCTTACTTAAAAGTGTATCATCTCCTCTCAGCTTCTATGGCATTTGGTTCTTTACTGTGTTTCCAAATAACTACCCTCTAGACTTGATTACTAAAATGTGGGCCCATGAACAAATTTTAGAAGGAATACATGGTATGTTTCAGGTTAAATAGTAAAATGACTGTGCTATGCTACTTTGTGATTTGTATACTACTAACTTTAGTAGCTTTCCATCTAAAAATTACGATGAAGAATGGTGACAGATGAACATATAGAAGGAGGGTAAGAAAAGCTGGTTTTAATTCCAGCCATTCAGAGCATACTGAGCTTCAAAAAGTCTCTAGGACCAAATAGAAAGAAGGAATCCATACCACAGCTGTCTCAAAGAATAACTTGCCTCCAGAAAAAACCTAAACCATACGGCTTCTGGGAAATTAGAACTGGGTTTTTTAGCCTCTTACTCATTTCACACACTTTTTTTTTTCTTCACCAACATTTTAACTTGCCATACCTATCTCTGCTTCTTATCTTCATAACATCTGTGAATATTCCCAAAGATGGGGAGTTGACCACTTATCTACTCAATAGAAAGAGGATGTCTTTATTCTTATAAAGTAAGGTGAGGCTATTGATTTAGCACATTAGATTTGAGCCCAAAAATTACATTAAATAACCCAAATTAGTTTTTTTAATTGGAATTCACATTTCAAAGAAAGTCATTGTCAGAAAAAACTTTTTTTTTGCTTCTCCTTTCATTGCTTTCAGTCCCTTGAGGAGAGAAAGGAGGGACTTTTTCAAAAAAATTGAGAAGAAAACAAATCAGAGTGGAAATACAAAAGCAGGACCAAAGACAGAAGCTTTTCTCAGAGCCTCTGATCTCTATTCTGGGCCTCATCCTTTCTCCTCCGGCTGCAGTGCTTCTGTTTTGGCCAATAATCCTCCTATGAAATATGTTGCTCACAGAGAAAAAAAGTTATCCATCTCACCCTTCAGTCAGTAGGATTTCCCATGTGCTACTATATCTTCAGTATGAATACTGCCTCCAACATGGATTAGAATGAGTCTTGAAAACTTTGCTCTTACCAAAAGAACAAGATGGCAAAAAGTTTAAAAAACAACTGTGTTAAGCATAAATAGAAATGGCACAGGACGACCTTCTAGCCAGGACTACAGAGGGAGTAACTACTTAGAATCATAGAATCATAGAATGGTTTAGGTTGGAAAAGACCTTTAAGATCATCAAGTCCAACCGTTAACCTAGCACTGCCAAGTCCATCACTAAACCATGTCCCTAAGCACCACATCTACACGACTTTTAAATACCTCCAGGGATGGGGACTCAACCACTTCCCTGGGCAGCCTGTTCCAATGCTTGA